CTTGCGTATATTCCAAAAAATATTCTTCAGCTTATTATCTGTATTGGTATCGTCATTATCCAAATAGAGCTCTAGATTACATTCTATATAAAGCTAACCAAGGCTCTGCATCTAATACTGCTCCTTTCGCTGAGAAGAGATTTACAACTCAGGTGGATTCAAACACTACTGATCTGACTATCAATGACTTGAAGGTAGAGGATTCAGCCACATATCACTGTGCACTGCAGAGCGCACAATGTGTCAGGACTGAGCACAGCAGCTACATAAACCTCATATTGTGTCTATAACTGAGGAAGGGAAATAATTCTTGTGATGTGGTAGCAGTTTCCCTGCAGCTGAACAATGTTCTATCTATCTATCTAAAAAATAAAAACCAAGTCATAATGTTTCTACCTCCATGTTTGACGGTGGGGATGGTGTTCTTGGAGTCAGAGGCAACATTCCTCCTCCTCCAAACAGGGACGTATTAGCCGCGAGGCAAACAAGGCATTTGCCTTGGGCGGCACTTTCCAGGGGACGGCAATATTTAAAACCCAAGCATCATACACTGATAGTAAGTAAAACCATACGGCTGTTTGGCTATACAATGTTCAGCATAGAATGACAATATCAGGGATGGACTAGGATACAGTCTGGAAATTTAAATACTTAGCAGCACATTAGGAGGGGTGGAGCCAGAGAGGGGGCACACACTCCTCCAAAATTTGTATGTTAGTATGATGACACTCCAGGGCATCCCATACACCATATGTATAAAGGGATATAGGGATGTAGTGTATGTGTTTAGGGGTGTAGTGTATTTTCGTTAGTTAAATCATGGCACAGTGTAATATGTCATGTGCTGTTCTTCTGAGGTTGTGTTTACCTAATTTAAGACCTGCTAAGGAACAAATGATTTGTATTCTATCTTGATACGTTCTTTTTCAAATCACTGTATGTTTAAAATAGTAGAAAAGTACTGGATACCACACTCACCAAGTAACCCAGGTGCTCTAAAACCAGGGCTGACCAGGCCTCCCTTTCAAGATTTGCAGAATAAATAACGGTTCAAGCACTCTGCGATAACAAAAAATAGCAGCTTTATTGTGGCAAAAACAGCAAGTTCCGACCCTATCGGGACTTTATCAAGTTTGTTTGTGCCCCAATAAAGTTTCTATTTTTTGTTACACCAGAGTGCCTGAACCATTATTTATTCAGAATGTTTAAAATAGGCAAATAGAAATATATTTATCTCTTCCAAAATTGGATAAGCCAATAAGAATCTAATTATATGGATCAAGAAGAAAAAACACCTATATCCTCCTGTGACTAGAAACAATTTGTCATGCTTACAGTCATTTTCTTTTGCTGGTTAAGCCACAGCAGCATTACGGTAGGGTTATCTTTGCTCACTTGGCTGTTTAGGACAGGACATAAAGATATACATATGCTCCTAAGGGACCCTCCTTTTCTGTCTTAGTAACAAAATACTGGTAAATAAAGGGTAAGAAATCTAATGCGGCCATCGACCAACCAAGCAGAGAAAATGATGGTATGTATGACCAAATGTTCCTTACTACTCAACAATCCATGGCAGCATTACAATAGGGTAATACTCAAGCTAAATTTAACTGACAAAGAAGCCACAAAATACAAGACCATCACAAATGTAATAAAGGAAATCAGATATAATAAGTTAAGTAAAGGGGAATGACAGAAAGAATGTTGTGTCTAAAATTTGAGACTTATGCCGTTTGACTATCCAAAGCATTATACTTAATGAAAGTATAAGTTGATGTCCATGTAGCTGCTCAGCAAATGCCATCAAATGGGGTATTAGCTGCACCTTATGGATTGGTCTTTGATCCCCTCTGGAACTTGAAGA